AATCGTTTTCAATATCAACTATGTGACAACAAATTAAAAAGGCAAAGTGACTGGTAAATAGCGCCCCGACCTTTCCAAATTAGGTAGGTGGGGTTGCATTTTCACCATCGCCAATAAATAAAGGCCTATATAGACCTAATTTAGGGGTTGGCGTTCAGAATTGATAGTTCGTCCTGGGTCCGAAATAGATCGCTACTCCCTTATAAAAGTTATTATTAGGTACCTTTTGATAATAGCGATTAAAACTTTTGCGACCCCCAAGGGATGGCGCCCTATGCGACAGCCTAGTTCGCCTTGTAGGTAGCGCCGGCCCTGGGTAGAGGATTAGATCTTTTACTTAAATGTGAAATTTCATTCATCTATCTGAAATAGTACTCAAGTTATTAAAAAAAAAATTCAAAGTAGAAAAAGACCACTTCCGGTTATCGGAAATCGCTCAAAAGTTGACTCTGATCTACGATTTCGATATGATTCTTATATATGAAATTTCATCAACCTAGCTGTAACGGTACTCAAGTTATCGTGTTTACAGACACACACACACACACATTCACACAGACACACAGACATACAGACAACATTGCAAAACTATGCTTTTCCGACTCAGGGAGGTGTAAAACGTCGAGATTTGTAAAAATCTCGATTTTTTTTTTTTTTGCACAATTACAAGACTTCCTCTATACTTCGTACATACGAGAAAGTAAGAAAGAAACATTTAGTCCGTGTATATCGATCTATATATTACAATTTTGTATGAGTCAAATGGGAAAGTCCACATTTTAGAACATTGCGAAATCTATTTTTTTTAAAAAGTATTCCCCAGTTCTTTTTGAACCTTAAGGAATTTTTTCACTTGTTACGCAAGTTTGTAAATTCAGCCAGACATTATCTCCCCGGCCTAGTGTGACGAAATACACACGTGACAACCGAAGAACATACTCAAGGTTAAAAATGTGTCCATGTTTGTTATTTCTCCGTAATGCTTAAGTAAGTAAGGCTTGTTTAAAAAAAAATTTTATACATCCACCGTGGCGAAAAAAAACCTTTTCATAAGCAATTGTGCTAAAACTTGATTCTTTTAAGTTTTATTCTAAATGTGAATGATTACATAAGCCCTTCGCATCCATAGTATACCGCACTTTAATACAAAATTAGGCGACGGGTGTGGTGATGCACTGATGATAAACAAACCCACAAACCCAACTATATTCTTTAATTTTTACGAGATTTAATTTAACTTACTTCCTCTGTATGTCTTTTGTCTGTCGTGCTTAGTCATCGAGCGAAACTTCAAAGTTAAATTTTGACCAATTCAAACTGACCGATTCGTTTCTAACTTGGCAAGTGGGTCAAGCACCGATGTTATCAAGCCCATTGGCTCCACATCTTGCACTAAAAGTTAGGAAACAATTACGGGTTCCATTTTAATTACAGAGGGACCCAATACAAGAGGTCTTAATTAAAAGAAAATAAAGTTATATAATAGGTGCACTCATTTCATTACTTTTTGTGTTTCAGTTCTTTATTATGAGAGCAATTGAAAAAAGTTATAAATTAATAATAAACAAATATTGACTTTGCTGGGCGATACATGCTTTAATTATGTTGCTTTCCTGAAACCTAACAAAGATCTTCACATCATTTTCGACATTCTCATTGTACTGTGCAACGGGGCGCTGATGGTTAGAATTTGGAACCAGAAACAATTTTTCTACAGCGCTAAATATCTCTTACTTGTCTCGTTGTCCATATGTGACATTTTCATGGCTCTTTATTCACGGGTCGTATCAACAAGTTATTTGTTTAAAGATTTCTCACCAGGGCAGGTAACTTGTAGATTTCTGATCACGGTTGGTGTTTATCAAACACATCTCATCCACTTTGTCCATGGGACTGGGCTCGTTATTTTATCAGCTGAGTATATTCACCGTCAAAGAACGAAAACTCAAACAGATATACTGAAGGGGTTTGCCATCAGTTGCGTCCCGTGGGTTCTGGGTCTTGTGATTATGCTACCACTGACAATGGCATACATGGACTTAAAAACATGTAAATGGTTGTTCATCATCTCCAGATTACAAGCTGTGTGTATAGTGTCCACCATTGTACCCGTGGTAACAGCCTCTGTGCAGCATGCTTAAAGAAAAATTACATACCACAACAGCAAATACAGCTACTTCCACAGCAAAAGCTGGTCTTTTCTAACCAGTCATCACAAAGGAATACTCAAGATACACCAGTTGTTGGTGGCCCAGCCGCCTACAACACCAGCTTTACGCCAGCAATGAACAACACCCAAGTTAACAACTTCTCGCTCATCTGAGAAGATGCGCTTCTTCTGCGTTCTGTAGCCAAAAGTTGCATTTTCGATGTTGCCATCTGTTTTGTGCAGCTTAACATACAATTTAAACACAAACAACTTAGGGATTGCATAAGTAATAAGTAGACTATAAAGGTTATTATTACTCAGTAAAATTATATACTTCTTGACCTGCCTATTATTATTTTATTCACTGTCAACAATAGTATAAATGCTAGGGGAATATAATGACTTAATCATTTGGAAATTCAAGAAAGAAAAGAATAATATTTTGCATGTTCCAAATCAATTTTTTGAAAGTAAAAACATTTAATCCAGACTGACGTTATTATTGCTTGAGAAAATAAACATTGCATGAAAACACAAAAATAATAAAAGATGCAAATATACTTACAGGATTCCGTTGATTGAATTTCCCACTTTGTTAATTAAAACAAGTACATGAGATTCTGAACTCAGTTCCGGTTCAGAAAGTTAAAGCAGGAAGTAAACTCCAAGCAGGGTAAACAATTAAATTAATAAAAAAGAATGAAAAACTATGAAAAAAATTGTTCTTCAAGGCAAAAACTTGCTGTGACTTTTCCTCCCCTATACTCTCAAATTACTAAAGGCGTAATGTAAGCACAATTGAAATATTAATTAAGAAACAAAGGCAACAATTTGGTTCTTACTTTTGTAGCAAAAGAATTTGGCTTAGTAACCGAGAAGGCTTACGACGATTGAATCATCCTCCAAAAATGCGTAGCGCTGGTAAATTATTGAGATAAAAAGAAAAACACTAGTAGAAAATGTAAACTGATTTGCATGGCGCCGATGGTGTCTCTTTAGGGTTGTGTGTAGCTGTGTTTAGTATAAGTTATTAAATCTATAAATCTATCCTCTGGAATTTAATTTGCCTTTCAATCATACATTGCATTGTTAAAAAGGTGTATACATAGTTTTTATTTTTATGCATGGGTAAACGCTATTAAATTATAATTCACATTTTCTTGATAAGTGTTTATTGTATGTTTCAAAATATATCACTGACAATTTAAGATGTATTTTGTGTATTGTCAAGGTCTTTACATCGATTATTGTGTAACCAGTTGCATCATAGTCACTAACAGCCGATTGTATTCCGTTTTATGCCATATAATAAAGCGAAGTGTGGGAAATTAAAAATGTGGGAAATTAACTGTTTTGTGTAGTATCTTGTACCATGAAAAGACCTATGTTAATCCACACACATATGACAAACCCCATACAGATGTCATGCCACACACATATGACAAGCCAGCTCAGATGTGAAGCCACACAAATGTCAGAACATACACAAATACGTCACGCCCAACTGGTTTCATAGAAAGAGCAGATGATGTTAAGACCCGCACATATGTGAAGCCACAAATAGATTTCAAGCTGCACGTATATGTTTAAGATACACACAGATGTGAAGAAACACACATATTTTAATCGATCTAGCATTAAGTAGGGGCGAAAAAACAAAAACAGAGGACAGAATTACCAACCCATGATTATAGATTTAGGGGTCATCCATAAATGACGTCACGCTTTTTTTGGACAATTTTACCTCCCCTCCTCACCTCATTCACACTTCATTACAAAAAGCCTGAATCCCACCCCCCCCCCTCTTTAAATGACGTCACACATCAGCCTACAAACCTAAAATATATGCACAGACAAACTGAATGTTGCTGTGCCTTTCTGAATGATCAGCTATGTCGTATTCTTCACAACAGGTATAGGGAGTGGTAACAAATCGATAGATATAGTGTAATATTGTCGGACGAAAAAAATACCTTTTAAATAAAAATTAGACACAATATCCTCTTTGTGACATTTTGTTTCCAACAATATGTTTAAAAACAAACGCTTACGGCTGTGTTGATGAAGTAATTTTTAAAAAATGCACAAAAACATTCAGTTTGTCTGTGTATATATTTGAGGTTTTCTCAACCTTGAAATACTATGGTTTTTATATAGTTCTGCTTATTTCTGTCTGTGTGTCCTTCCAATTAATTTCTTGTGTTCGATAGTTTATCAATAAGTTTGTCCATTTTGTATCTCACAAATGTAGTACAACTAACAATGACAGTATACAACTAATAAACAGACAGGCAAACATTTCCATACTCTGACTAACGCTGATGTTTTACACTTGGACAAGCATTTCGTTGGTCTTTGGTCAACGTCAGAAACCACGTGATAATCCCCATGACGCTAACCTACATAACGTAACGAGTACGTATTGATACACCCTGATGCGCAGAACATACAGGATACATTCAGTCATTTAATAGATGCTCACAATACAAAACTTCTTATCTCTAATAATCTATTTTTACCACGTAGACCATTACATTACACAGCGCAGATGACGTCTGTAGTCAATATTTATTTTTTAGATTAAGATGAAACTGTACTGAATGTGTCACAAGCGTCGATATTTTAAAATAGGTCGGACTCTATTATTAGATAAGAAATATTCCCCAAGTATGTTTTACCTATAAGCTGCCTACAGGATTGGCCTCCTTACTTCAACTACCGGCCAAGTTTTGGCCCAGATTTCAAATCTTATAAATTGAGCCAGAGCTCAGTCCTCAGCAGATAGTGACGGGTCTCCCACGTGACAGTCGTAGAACCCGTGACAGGTATTGACGTCACATTGTATACTCGTTACCCCTACTGCAATACCTCTATACGTGCAGTGCTTAAGTTCAACAACTAAGAGAGAACAGAGAAAAATCAGTGGAAGAACTTACATTAGACATCGTTCTTTACTTGTGAAAATTGTTCCCTGAAAGTTTTGATTGAAGGTATTGTTTTTTTTTCTTCAAATTTCTTCCAAATGTAAAAAAAAAATTTTTATACAAAACAATACATAATAATTTAATAACTGTAAAAATATTTTTTTAAAAATCTAAATAAATGTAATTTATTTAGTGCAACATTTTTATTTTAACTTTTTAGTGTACATAATGTTTTTTTTTAAAAATCTGATAGCTGGTAATTTTAACAAGTTGATTGTTTTCGTTATCAACTAAAGTTAATAAAAGAACTAGAATTTTTACCAAAAAAAAACAACGAAAAACCTGTTTATAATTTTATTAGTTGAAAATGTTTAATTTAAACGGCATTTATCAAAATATATTAGTAATTATGCCATAGTAAAGATTTATTCACGTCACATACATTAAAACGTTACATTAAAAGTTGAGCTTTGAAATTGTTGTTCATATTTTTGTAGTCATGTAAATATTTATTCATTAATAAGCAGTAGTATTACCAATATAATCTGTTTTGATCTATTGTTCACACTGACCCAAAATTGATCATCTGAAATATTTCTGACATATTTCCGACATATTTCCGACATATTTCCGACATATTTCCGACATATTTTCGACATATTTCCGACATATTTCCGACATATTTCTGACATATTTCTGACATATTTCCGACATATTTCCGACAGATTTTCGACATATTTCCAACATATTTCCGACATATTTCCGACATATTTTCGACATATTTCCGACATATTTCCGACATTTCTGACATAGTGCAGACTTATTTCAGACATATTTCCGACATATTTCCGACATATTTCAGACATTTTTTCGACATATTTCCGACATATTTCCGACATATTTCCGACATATTTCCGACATATTTCCGACATATTTTTGACATATTTCCGACATATTTCCGACATATTTCCGACATATTTCCGACATATTCCCGACATATTTCCGACTGGAGTGGCCTCGGCAATTTAAAAAAATAGATACTCGCGATCTTGCAAACAAAATACATGCGTTTTCTCTTTTTAATTGTTTCTGTAGAATTATGTTTAAAGACCTTCACTAGCTCTTGTAGGTATGTATGCTATCAGAAACCTTGTTATGGCCTGAACCCGATAATCATTTGTTGTGTTAGTAACTAGGAAACAATTAAATGGAAACATATTTTCTTAACTATGCAGTGCACTTCTAGTTTTATACGATTTACTTTTCTTATTGATAAAACAAAACGACTAATCAAAACGAGCAGAGTGGACTAAAAATATAACATGAGCTAACCAGTTATTATTATATGGCTGGGCGCCCACAGGTTCTGGTGATAAAAAAAACACACTAATATCTCGGTAGAATTAAAACTACTTGGCTTTCACAGGCAATGTTTCAATGTTACCTTTGAGTAACTAAACCATCTCGTGATCATTTTATTTTATCAGTTTTAGACACAAACATTGCTGTGTTTGTTGTTTGTTTGAGTTAAACACGAATTAATACGCGTTTATAATTTTTCATAAATGATCACCATGATAGCTACCACGCTTAGCTATTTTATGTGCACCTTGTTGAGAAGATGAGGATAAATTTTGAACGCAATCATATACAACTGTATAATATTCGTAATTACTGTTTGTTGTATTTCAGTTATCCGGCAATCAAAGACATCAAATAACAAGAAATGGATGTACTGTATAACCCAGACTTTGACTTCGATACTTACCTCACAACTACCAAAGCTCTTCACATTTCTTTCATCATCCTCATTGTTTTGAGCAACGGGGCGTTGATCTTCAGAATTTGGTTGCAGAAACATTTTTTCTACAGCGCTAAATATCTCTTACTTGTGTCGTTGTCCATAGGTGACATTTTCCTGGCTCTTTATTCTTTGGTGATATCAACCAGGATATGGTTTCAAGATTTCTCAAAAGGGGAGTTAACTTGTACTTTATGGATCACGGCTGGTGTTTACCAGACACATCTAATCAACTTTGTCCATGGGACTGGGCTCGTTGTTTTATCAGCTGAGTATATTCACCGCTGTAAATCAAACAGTCAAAGAACGAAAACTCCAACAGATATATTGAGGGGGTTGGCCATCAGTTGCGTCCCGTGGATTCTGGGTCTTGTGATTATACTACCACTTTCACTGGCAGGAAAGGACTTGGAAACATGTGATGATCAGTTCACCATTTCCAGGCAGCAAGCTGAGGGTATAGTGTCTACTATTTTACCAGCGGTCATAGCCCTTGTCACAGCTATCTGTGTTTTATGCATAAAGAAGGATCACGTTTCACACCAGCAGATAGAGCTGACCCCACAGCAAAACCAGGTCTTTTCTAACCAGGTGTCACAATGGAACACGCAAGGTGCACCGGTTATTAACGGTTATAATAAGCATCCAGAGATGACCCCACAAAACACCCATCTAACATCAACTGCTCCACAATATAATTATCCACCACAGACAGCTCAATATACCAATTATCCACTACAGTATCCACCACCCAGCTTTATGAGTCCCCCCGCCTACAACACCAGCTTCACACCAGCTATGAACAACACCCAAGTTAACAATGCCGTTATAAGACTCAACCCCAACCCTCACATCACAACACCACCACTAGTCCTCAACAATGAAAAAAACAAAATTCTTTCCCTTGCATTGCTCTTCTTTTTTCTCGTGGTTCCTCAAGCTATTTTCTATCTTGCCTTTAATCTGAACATCAACAGAAACCATAATCTTGCACTTCCTAAAGTAGCCTACTACGCCATACACGACGGCCTGATGTGGTTAATGCTACTACGTCCCATCCTCACACCGTTAATGGCTATTGCCCCACTATATTTGCAACATGGCTAGTTAAAATATTGTAATCTCTTGTATATCAAACATTAAAAAAGCAAATTATAAAATGTAATGAGGTCACAGAAACATGTTAGCTCTAGTTCCTCTTAGGATGGACTCCAGGTTCAAAAGGATCACTTACTTTAAAATATCTGACATGGAGGCATCCAACAACATAGGGACGTCACTCAATTATACTTACAATTACACACAAATTTAACACCCGCATATACACGAAGAAGTCATCTACCATCCAGTGAATTGGCCACACTGTTTTAGGACCCCTGCACCTAGTCTAGTGTTGTCTTATCTGTACATAATTTAACAAACTATAAATGAAATTAGAAAAAAAAACAAAAAATAAACACCACAGTTTTAAAACTTGTCACGGCTCCTATTGAGAAAGTTAGTGTACTCTCTATATTGACTGATCAACACACAAAAAGATTTTCGGCTTTGATTTGTAAATTGTATCTTTATTTAACCTATGTTTCTGTTATCCGTGGTACCTCTCTTTGCGCACAACATATAGTAGAGTTTAAGGTTCACATCATTGTTTAATTACTCATGTGCTGCTTTAAATAATTCAAAATGTATTAGAATATTAAAGCAATTCAATAGTATCCACTTTATTGCATTTGCGTCAGTAGATGTTTCATTCATAAAATTTGAATTGGATAACTATGTTGGTTGATGTTTACTGTTTTAAAGAGGAACATGCTAATATATGCAAATTTATGTAAGAATATACATGTAAATATATATATATATATATATATATATATATATATATATATATATATATATATATAGCTATATATATATATATATATGTGTGTGTGTGTGTATGATGTTAAAATGTATATAAGTCTCTGTTTAGACTCCCTCTGCTAGACAATTACTCACTGTAAATAAATATGTTTTTGAAAATCAAATCTGATTTGAGTTTTTTAAATATAGCTTTTCACCTCATATTTGTTAGATCTTTAATTATTCTGAAAAAATGACAAAATAAATAATATAATTCTAGCAAGTGCTTGTCATATCTAATCGTTGTTTTAAACATTATGAATACGCATGGTAAAGACAAAAGAACATTTCTTCGACTAATAGCAGTATTATTGTTTTATTAGATAGGACCAACTGAAAGATAATCCCATGTAGGCAATGAAGACAAATATTTCATCTTTTGCTTCGGGATGACGAAATTCAGTTTGCTTAGTGTAAATACACTTGAACTTGGCTATTCAGAATCATACTTCAATGGGTACAGACATTAATGTAATTATGATGTGGTATTTATTTAGCGTTGTGGATATTTCAAGTTGAAATAGATAAGAAGACAGTCAAGAAAGAAAATATTCAAATATTTATATTATTTTTATAAATGTGTAAGACTGTTTCTGAGAAATATTATATAGTGTGTAGTGTTGTAAGTTTATTTATGTTCCTATGTTAATTAAATTTTAACATATTTCTATAGAATCTATTCTTTTCATTCGTTAAACTTTGTCATAAAATCCTTAATTCTTAATTACAAATATTGAAAAAATGTACTGTACAAATACATGTTCAACAACATCACTTGGTTCTTTTTTACCAGATTATGAAAGCTTTATACAGTCCTGAAATATTGTGATTAATACAATACACAAATGTAACTACCAAAAATCTAAAAAATGCTGTTCTAAAGATATCCCCACCTACGTGGATATTGTACATTTATATTTTAGGTTTCCTAAACCTTAAAATACTATGTTTTTATATAGTATTACGTATTTCAGTCTGTGTGTCTTTTTTGTGTTCGATCGTTTTACTATAAGTTTCTCAATTTTAGAGTCGTCCATAAATGATGTCACACTCGTGGGGGGGGGGGGGGGCTGGGATCCGTTATTATGTGACTATGTGTGATGAGGGGGAGGGGGGTGTGTTTAGATGGTCGGACGTCACACTCTTGTATTATAATAAACCGGGAGTGATCTCCCCAAAACTTTCTCAAATATTCTTATATTAAAGAACAGGGGATCGGAACTCGGGATATAGACATGAATTTTAATCCATTTTAAATACTTAAACTTTTTAAAATAGAATACAATCTCATAGAAAATAGAATTGCACACCAGTGAACGCCAAATAAAATTTGCATAACAGTGCGCAATATTATTGGTACTTTATAAATTTACATTAGTTTTTAAGAAATCGGAAATAGCGTAAATAAGTACTTCCGGTCAACGGAATTTACTCACAATTTGATAGAAGGTAGAGAATTAGATCATTTACTAACATGTGAAATTTCATTTATCTATCTGAAATAGTACTCAAGTTATAGGCTTTTGAAAAATTCAAAGTAAAAAAGTACCACTTCCGGTTATCGGAAATTGCTCAAAAGTTGATACGGATCTACGATTTTGATAAAATACTTATATATGAAATTTCATCAACCCAGCTGTAACGGTACTCAAGTTATCGTGCTTACAGACACACAGAAACACACACACACACACATGCACACAGATATACGGACTAGATTGCAAAATTATGTTTTTCCGTATCAGTGAGGTGTAAAACGTGGAGTTTTTTTTTTTTGCACGATTACAAGACTTTCTCTATACCTCTTGTATACGAGAAAGTAAAAATAGCTGGAACAGATTTGTCAACTGATTTGCATTTATAATATAAAGTCATAAGTCAAGGAATTTTCAGTTTTTCTGTAGGCAATTTTGTAGCTGTGATTTGTCTATGTCTCAAAACGACTAGCACTTATTTGTGATTTGAGGTAGTCTCTGTGTGTAACTCAAGTTTGTCCCACTATTAATATAGCGATTCTTTTTAAATTTTCCAGTTAATGATTTATGAAAATGCTACCATGTGCCACATGCAATAACAAACGGGGAGATAACCGAGCATTTGTCCACGGGTGTTTTTATATCTTAAATACCATTGGTATTGACTTTCAGTTCAAGGCCTAAGTTGGTGGTGTTTTTTTTTTACCAATAGCTATACTATGAATCTTGGATTAAATGCTAACTTCAACCAAAGTGATTTAGATGAAACTAATTTCCCAACATCCAAATTAATATGTTCCATCGAGACGGGCCTTTTAATATAGAACAACAGCAAATTTATTTTTCAATTTATTAACTAAATGGATTTTATCCGCATCAGGTTTTAATCTTCGGCTGTAGAATGAAATAAGGCACACCATATCTTTATAGACATTAAGTATTTTACGCCACCCATTTTGAATCTAGTGCCAGATCACATAACAAGAAAGATATATTAACTGGACATTCTAAACTATTTATTCAGAGTAAATATATTATACATTAAATTTTATGAACTGATTGTAATAAAATTAAACTAAATACATGTAGTTTCTTGCTTTAAAAAATATATATTATAATGAAAGTTTCAAAGAGTAACACAAATAACAACGCGAATTAGCTTTTCTTTATGCTCATCGCGGAGCTTAATAATAAGAACAAATATTAAGGTTTTTTTAGTAAGCTTTTGGACGACAACGAACACTTATTTTGAGTAACTAAACATTTTTTAAATATAAAATAATAATCAGCTTCTAAGTGTACATAATTTTATTTTAAAATAGATCTACTTCAACAATACTTAGAAATAAACTCTCAATCCACTTCTGCCTTTAAAATCATACTGTTTTTAATAAAAAAACAATTTCAACCATAAGTAGGCCTAAGTCAGGTGTCGGCAACCTGCTGCCCGCGAGCCGCATGCGGCTCTTTTGATGTCAAGATGCGACTCTCCAGCTCCTTGCATAAATATTAATAATTATATTATTTCATTTTCAAAACTTATAACAAAAATTAAAATGTACAGACACAGAAGAAAAAACTTGTCAGTGAGAATAGGTGCAATAGAAAGTATACGGACAGCCGCTTGGGCACTAGACCCAGCCGTTCTGTAGCCAGCCCCTGGCAACAATTAAATGCCCAAATGCCGACTTTTACGAATAGCGTTAAATGGAGCATGCTATTTAATTCAGAATGCATTTCCCTATCGATCAATAATCATTAATTTGACATGAGTGATGTAGTATTTTAGTTATTAGATTTCTACTGTTGAGCCGGGTACCGGACGGTTGGGTACGACGGTGGGGACACATTCCTTAGCCGGTGATGTTCGTCAAGAATGAAAGAAAAAAAGTTAACAGCTTCTAAAATGGATTGGGATAGTCCTATAGTTTTATTTTTTGATTACTTATTTCATAATTCTGGCGAAACAAGAGTATTATTTTATTTGAATAAACATTATTTCATATTTAATGCTATTTATTTTAAATAACAAATCAATTTTTTCCCCTAATCCTAATCAAATAATCATATATTGAAATAAAAATGTTAATGGCTCTTTAAAAACTGGGACATTTTGAAAATTGTAACTTTTAGCTCTTCCGTCTCAAAAGGTTGCCGACACCTGGCCTAAGTAGTTTATAAAAAACCTACATTTAAGCACAAAGGAAAAACATTTGTTTCAGTTTCTGTCTACCACGAATCATCACTTCAAAAAGTGGACACAGCGATTTCCTTCCTTAATTTTATTATTATTTATCTTTGTTTCCTTTGTAAGGAAGATGTAAGCTACTTATAGTGTTAAAAACTTTTTAAATTTTAACACAGAGTGTGCAGTATATGCCAGTCCTGATTTTTTTCATATTTTTATAGCTTGAAAGATTTGAATTAAAACAAAAAGCAGTTAATGCGAATCTATTTAAAAATGGGACAGTGTGGTCGATCAGTAAAGCGCGTGACTGCTAATACGAAGGTTTCAAGTTCGGATCCCGGGCTCTAGCGTTTTGCATGTTCATCATTCAATCCAGCTGTAATTTGTAACTAATGGCGGCTTGGCAGAGAACGGAAAAAACTATCTCTTCCTTTCAACCAAAGTGAAATAAGCAGGTTAATTCTACTTCACCTGCTTCATTAACCACGAGGTCCGAAATGATAACCTAAATATATTTAAAATTTGCAAGTAACACTTGAAATTGTTATAACAACATTTTATTCAACTTAAGCTCTTATTATCAAAAACAAAACAAAAATAAACCGGGAGTGATCTCCGGGCTCCCCTAAACTTTCTCGAATATTCTGATATAAAACAACAGGGGATGGGAACTCGGGCTATAGATATGACTTTTAATCCATTTTAAATACTTAAAGTTTTAAAAATAGAATAAAATCTCGTAGACAAAAGAATCGCACACCAAGTGAACGCCAAATAAAAAAGTGCATAATAGTGCGCAATATTATTAGTACTTTAAAAATTTACATTAGTTTTTTTGAGAAATCGGAAGTAGCGTAAATTACTACTTCCGGTCAATGGAAATTACTCAAAATTAAACAGATGGTAGAGAATTAGATCTTTTACTAACATGTGAAATTTCATTTATCTATCTGAAATAGTACTCAAGTTATAGGCTTTTTAAAAATTCAAAGTAGAAAAAGTACCACTTCCGGTTATCGGAAATCGCTCAAAAGTTGATACGGATCTACGATTTTGATAAAATACTTATATATGAAATTTCATCAACCTAGCTGTAACGGTACTCAAGTTATGGTGTTTACACACAGACAGACAGACAGACACACAGACACACAGACATACGGACAGAATTGCAAAGCCCAGTTTTTCAGACTGGATTACGCATAAAACCTCTAAATTTTGATAAATCTGGATTGATAATTTTTGCCCGATTAAAATAAGTCCTCTATACTTCGGATGTGATGAAGGACTGATGTGTAGTACGGTGAAAATTGTTAAAATTTCAAGTGATTTTTGTGCATGATTACAATACTTTCTCTATACTTTGTATATACTAGAAAGTAATGAAAGACGTTGTTTTATTTGGAAGTTTATAAAATGCTATGTAAATTAAAGGAGAATTTACACGCGTTTTTTTGAGAAATCGGAAATAGCGTAAATTAGTACTTTCGATCAACGGAAATTACTCAAAATTTGACAGAAGGTAGAGAATTAGATCTTTTACTTACATGTGAAATGTCATTTATCTATCTGAAATAGTATTTGGTCTTTGGTCAACGTCAGGAACCACGTGATAATCCCCATGACGCTAGCCTGCATTACGTTACGAGTGCGTATTGATACACTCTGATGCTCAGAACATAAAGGATACATTTGGTAATTTAATACATGTTTACAATACAAAAGTACTTATTTCTAATAATCTATTTTTACCACGTAAACCATTACATTACAAAGCGTAGATGACGTCTATAGTCGATATTTTTTTTCAGTTCAATATAAAACTGTACTGAATGAGTCACAAGCGTCGATATTTTAAAATAGGTCTGACTCTATTATTAGATAAAGAATATTTCCCCAGTATTTTTTTTTTACACAACACCTATAAGGTGCCTACAGGATGAGCCTCCTTACGTCAACAATCAGCCATGTTTTGACCCAGATTTCAAACCTTATAAATTGAGCCAGAGTTCAATCCTAAGCAGATTGTGACGGACCTCCCACGTGACAGCCGTAGAGCCAGTGACAGGCATTGACGTCACTGAGTGTACACGTCGCCCATAGTGTAAAACATCTATAAGGTCAGTGTTTTTGTGCCAACAACCACAAAGAGAAGAGAGAAAATATTACTCAAAGAATTAACATTCGACATCTTCATTAGCTTGTAAAAATTTTTCCCTTAAAAGTTTTGATAAAAGGTATTTTTCAAATTTCTTCCTAATCAAAAAAAAAAACAACATATTTTATAAAAAGCAATAAATAATAATTCAAATGTAAAAAAATATTTAAAAAATAAAAATAAATTTTGTAATTTATTTAGTAGCAACTTTTAAATCAAGGATTTTTTAGTGCACATTATGTTTTTAAAATTCTAATAGGTGGCAATTTTAATAAGTTTTTGTTAGCAATTAAAGTAAATTTAAAAAAAAAAAAATTAGCAAAAAAAAAAAAAAAAAACCAACCGAAAAACTTGTTTATAATTGCAATAGTTATAAAATGTTTTGATGTAAACGATCAACATGTCATCATATGTTAGTATTTATGCCATAGTAAAGATTTATTCACGGCACATAAATTTAGTTACATTAAAATTTGAGCTTTGAAATTGTGCTTTATATTTTTACTTTCTCGTATTTACGAACTATAGAGAAAGTATTGTAATCGTGCAAAAAAAATCGAGATTTTTACAAATCTTGACGTTTTAAACCTCACTGATACGGAAAAACATAAATAATGCAATATTGTCCGTATGTCTGTGTGTCTGTGTGTGTGTGTGTGTCTGTGTCTGTGTGTCTGTGTGTAAACACGATTACTTGAGTACCGTTACAGCTAGGTTGATGAAATTCCTTACATAAGTATTTTATCAAAATCGTAGATCCGTATCAACTCTTGAGCGATTTCCGATATCCGGAAGTGGTACTTTTTCTACTTTGAATTTTTCAAAAGCCTACAGCTTGAGTACTATTTCAGATAGATAAATCAAATTTCACATGTAAGTAAAAGATCTAAATCTCTACCTTCAGTCAAATTTTGAGTAATTTCTGTTTGACCGGAATTATTAATTTAAGCTGTTTACGATTTCTCAAAAAACGCACGTAAATTTATAAAGTACTAATAATATCCCGCACTATTATGCACATTTTATTAGGCGTTCCCTTGGTGTGCAATTCTTTTTTTACGAGATTCCATTCTATTATAAAAAGTTTAAGTAATTAAAAATGGATTACAAATATTGTCTATGTCCTGAGTTGTCATCCCTCGTAGATTTATATTAGAATATCCGAGAAAGTTTAGGGGAGATCACTCCCGGTTTATTGTAGTCATGTAAACATTTATTATAGAAATAATCGCAATTTCGTTTTATTTTCTATACTGACATAAAATTGATCTGTAGTGGTCTTGACAATTTGAAAGTAAAATTTAGATAGTCGTAATCTTCCAATCAAAACTGGATTTAGGTCTTTATCCGTAAAGCCCGTCACTAGCTCTATATTATAGAATGAACTCTTGTAGTTCTGTATGCTCTTAAATAGCTTGTTGTGGCCTGAACCATATAATCGGTTCCTCCATTAATAAATAGGTAAACAGTGAAAAAGCAACACAATCTGGTGATAAAACAAAACACAAATGTCTCAGTAGTATTAAAACTACTTGGCTTTCCCATGCAATGTTATCTTTGATTAACTAAAACATCTCGTTACCATTTCATATTATCAGCCGTAGAGACAAACAATGCTGTGAGTGTTCATTGTTTGAAATAAACACTAATTAAGACACGTTTATCATATTTATAAATGATTACGTTTACCAATATTATGTGCACCTAGTTGAACTAATGAGGATGAATTTTGAACGCAAACATATACAATTATCGAATAATCCAAATTATTGTTTGTTGTATTTCAGTTACCCAGCGCAGAAAGAAAACAAAAAAAAGCAATGGATGTACTTAATATCGATGCTTACATTAAAACTACCAAAGCTCTTTACATCATTTTCATCATCCTCATTGTACTGTGCAACGGGGCGCTGATCTTCAGAATTTGGAGCCAGAAACAATTTTTCTACAGCGCTAAATATCTCTTACTTGTGTCGTTGTCCATAGGTGACATTTTCCTGGCTCTTTATTCATTGGTTATATTGACCAGGTTATGGTTTCACGATTTTTCAATAGGGGAGGCAACTTGTAGTTTATTGCTCACGGCTGTTGTTTATCAAGCATATCTCATCAACTTTGTCCATGGCATTGGGCTCGTTGTTTTATCAGCAGAGTATATTCACCGCTTCAGATTTAACAGGCAACGAACGAAAACTCAAACAGATATACTGAGGGGGTTGGCCATCAGTTGCGTCCCCTGGATTCTGGGTCTTGTGATTATACTACCACTGTTAATGGTAGGGGTGGACTTAGAAACATGTGATGAGCTGGACAACATGTCCAGGCTACAAGCTGCGGGTATTGTATCCACCATTGTCCCCGCAGTCATAGCCCTTGTCACAGCTATCTGTGTGTCGTGCATAAAGAAGGATCGCGTTCCACAACAGCAGATAGAGCTGACCCCACAACAAAACCAGGTCTTTTCTAACCAGGTGTCACAATGGAACACGCAAGGAGCACCGGTTATTGACGGTTACAACAAGCAACCAGAGATGACCCCACAAAACAGCCATCCAACACAAACTGCCCCACAATATAATTATGCACCACAGACATCTCCATATAACAACTATCTACAACAATGTCCACCTTCCAGTTATATGGGACCACCCGCCTACAACTCTAGCTACACGCCAGCAATGAACAACACCCAACTTAACAATGTAGATATAGAACTCAACCCCAACCCTCACATCACAACAACACCAGTAGTTATCAACAATGAAAAATACAAAATTCTTTCCCTTGCATTGCTCTTCTTTTTTCTCGTGGTTCCTCAAGCTATTTTCTTTTTGGCTTATAGTCTGAACCATAACCTTGCACTTTCTAAAGTAGCCTACTACACCATACACGACGGTCTGGTGTGGTTAATGCTTCTACGTCCCATCATTACACCGTTAATGGTTATTGCCCCATCGTATTTGCAACATGCCTAGTTAAAATTAAGTAGACTCCCGAATTCCAAAGAGTAACTTACTTAAAAATATCTGACATTGAGTCTGCCCACAAGATAGGGACGTCACTCAATTATAATTACATTTTACATAATCACATAGTGTCGAATTAAGTCATGCACATATGTCTATATAATCTAAAAAACTAATTATGAAATTAAAAAAAAAACCGCCGCCTCAGTTTTAGAACTTATCACGGCTGGTGCTGAGAAAGTGTGTTTTCTCTATATTGGCTTATCAAAACAAAATGTTTTTCTGCTTTTATTTGTAAATTATAAATGTGTTTAAATAATGTTTCTGTTATCCTTGTGATCTCCTTTTGTGCATAATATATAGTAGAGTTTAAGGTTCACATCATTGTTCAATAAATCATATGCTGCTTTAAATAATTTAAAATGTATCAAAATATTTATAAATAATGCAAAATTATTCGATTTGTTGCTTTTTCGTCAGTGAATGTTTAATTGATTAAATTTGATTTGGTTAATTATGTTGTTGATGTTGCCTGTTTTGAGGAGGGACCTGCTAATATATGCACATTTATGTAAGATAGAATATACATGTAGATCTATCTATCTATCTATATATATATATATATATATATATATATATATATATATATATATATATATATATATATATATATATATATATATATATATATATGATGCTATTATGATTGCATTACTCATTTTAGAAACACATTTCTAGACAATAAAACAATGTAAATAAATACGATTTTTAAAATCAAAGTTACTTAAATTTTTTATAAACAGTTTTTAACCTTGTATCAATTAGATCTGTATTTATTCTGAAAAATGTCAATTTAAACAATATAATTATAGCAGGTGCTTTTCATATTTAATAGTTGTATATTTGTAGGTTTCTCAATACGTTTGGTAAAGACAAAACAGTTTTCCATCGATTACACTAGCAGTAGCAGTACTATTTTTTTTTTTAGATAGGACCAACTTAAAGATTATCCCAGTTAGTCACTGAAGGAAAATGTTTCACCTTTGGCTCCAAGACGACCCAATGTAGCTTGCTTTATGTAAACATACTTCGACTAAGCTAAATGAGAGTCACAACTCAAGAGGTGCAGACTTAAACGAAAGGAAACGTATGCTATTTATCCTCCTTTGAGGATGTTTCATGTCAAAATAGATTAGAAGACAGTCAAGAAAGAAACTATTCAAATACTTTATATGACTTTTAGAAAGATAGAAATTTGTTTCGTGCCGGAGAAAGATTATATAGTGTGTATTGTTGTAACTTTATTATGTTCAAATATTAATTTAATTATGATGTATTTGTATAGAATAACTTTTTTTCCTTCGTTATACTTAGTCATAATATTCTTAATCCCCCCCTTACCTACTTAAATATGTAACGTCATTTATTGTTAAGGACCATAATTAAATATACCCTTTTTACTTTCTCGTATATACGAAGTATAGAGAAAGTCTTGTAATCGTGCAAAAAAAAAAAATCGAGATTTTTACAAATCTCGACGTTTTACATCTCACTGTTTCGGAAAAACATAATTTTGCAATCTTGTCCGTATGTCTGTGTGTCTGTCTGTCTGTGTGTCTGTGTGTGATTGTAAACACGATTACTTGAGTACCGTTACAGCTAGGTTGCTGAAATTTCATATATAAGTATTTTATAAAAATTGTAGATCCGTGTTAACTTTTCAGCGATTTCAGATAACCGGAAGTGGTACTTTTTCTACTTTGAATTTTTCAAAAGCCTATAACTTGAGTACTATTTCAGATAGATAAATGAAATTTCACATTTAAGTAACAAATCTAATTCTCTACCTTCTGTCAAATTTTGAGTAATTTCCGTTGACCGGAATTACTAATTTACGCTATTTCCGATTTCTCAAAAAACGCAAATACGTTTATAAAGTACTAATAATATTGCGCACTATTATGCACATTTTTGTGTGTTCGCTTGGTGCGCAATTCTTTTTTTTATGAGATTCTATTCTATTTTTAAAAGTTTAAGTAATTAAAAATCATGTCTATATTCCAAGTTATATAAGAATATTCGAGAAAGTTTAGGGGAGATCACTCCCGGTTTATTAATTATAGGAATTAAATCTATTGAAAAAAAAAACATTTTTTTTTTACATATAGGCCTACATGATCACCAACATCAAGTGGTTCTTTTTTTACCAGATCATGAAATCCTTATCACAGCCCAGAATTGAGTAATACATTAAATACACAAATGTAACTCCCAAAAGTCTAAGAACTGCTGTTCTAAAAATATCCCCAGCTACCGGGAAATTGAGACTGGACTTTATGCGTTTTTTAACGTGGATGTAGAGAGGCGTGGGACGGTTCTGCCCATTATGTAAATAAAAGATTCAAGTTAAACTTAGGTAACTTAAAAATTACCAATTTTACGAACTGAAAGAAGAGCAGGCAGGAGTAAACATTACACATAATGTCAACACACGCGATTGAATGTAACCACTCCTTTCTAAAGTTGGAGTGGCCTAACACCTTTCATGCGGTATCCTGATGTTAGTTTAGTTTTGGGAGGTGAAAGACCGGTTTATTTCTTAGTTTACTTTTCTTTAAAATGTGTTATTTATACATTGCTAAATTAAATATATTACAAACTAATGGTATAAAATATAGAAACATATGCCTACACATCCAATAACACACAATGAGCAGACAATAAGGGATACTATGACATGTAAGGTGGTTTCTCATTATTGTCTCATCTGTTTTAATGAAGGAATGGATGGTGATTCGCCTTAAACAAGGATCTTTTGTTACATGTCCCATGTATCTAGATGTATATGATTATATGTAGGTTCAATGTCAATTTTCAATAAAAAGGGGGAATATAAATAAATAATATAATATAATAATATATAAATAAATACACACAAATTATATATATATATATATATATATATATATATATATATATATATATGTATATACATATATATATATATATATATATATATATATATATATATATATATATATATATATATATATATATATATATATATATATATATATATATATATATATACATATATATATATATATATATATATATATAGGGCTGTCAAGTTACACACACACACATATCCCATGTCACACTAATGTAGGGTCATACAGTGTAGGGTTCAGAATACTAGTATACCAGTGTAGGGTTCAGAATACTAGTATACCAGTGTAAGGTTCAGAATAATAGTATACCAGTGAAGGGTTCAGAAGACTATTATAACAGTGTAGGGTTCAGAATACTAGTATACCAGTGTAGGGTTCAGAATACTAGTATACCAGTGCAAGGTTCAGAATAATAGTATACCAGTGTAGGGTTCAGAAGACTATTATAACAGTGTAGGGTTTAGAAGACTAGTATATTAGTGTAGGGTTCATATGACTGGTATACCAGTCTAGGGTTCAGAATACTAATATACCAGTGTAGGGTTCAGAAGACTATTATAACAATGTAGGGTTCTGAAATCTTGCATAACGCATTCACATTACACTTCCTGCTGTTAATAGCAAACCAAATAAAGTTTTTCTATTCTAAAAGTGGACTAAGGTACTCTTCTCTCCTTTTACACCAACTGTAATTAAATATTGAGATCGTATTTAACCATCTTTGAACAGCTTTTATTTGCTGAACGTTTTCTATTCCTGCTGTTTGTTTTGCAAGAAGGATGGGGAGCGGATGTTAAATCTTGACGACTAGTCTGCTGAGTGGTGACTAAAAATAAATTCTTAAGGGATTGTCAAAATCCACAAAAACCTTGCTCTGATGTTAATATTTATTTTCACACTTCTACACAATTCTCGTCATGAACTGATAATAAAGTTTAATTTATTACACAACTATTAGAATAGGGAATATAAAAGTATTTAAGATCGTGATTTTAAATTTAATTTAAAGTTTATTCACGAAACATCCTTAGTTGAATTAGTATGGTGTAAAATTATATGGATCATATACATAAATATGATAGGCAATTTCGTATACTAAAGATTTATAATTGTAACTAGCTTGTATTTCTATAAAAAAAAATATTTCGCGAGTATTTCTATATTTAATCATGTGTCTTTACGTCAAGTTTAATGAGTATTGATGAATGTCTTTATGAAGGTCGTGATAAGTTTCTTGAGAAGTTAGCACACATGAGTCTCCAGCAGTGCCTTTATTGTAAACGCATGTAAATTTATAAAGTACTAATAATATTGCGCAATCCAAACCCTAATACTACTAAACTATTCTGGCGTCAGAGATAGAGCCACGGTTGTTAACCTTAGTCAAACTGAAAATAAAAGATGATTGAATGCCAATACATTTTTTTAATGCTCAAACGGAGAAGGAAGTATATTATTTTCTTTAAAAAAAATCACTGCCGTGCTGTAAACAAAATAAAAACAATTAAAAATACAATCATTCAAGCAAAAAAATGAAAGGACAAAACACCCAAACAGACAAGGCGATCGGAAGCATATGAACTCAATACAGAAACTAAAAACTTTTAACCGTGAGAAAATAGGAAAGAATATAGTGAACGAATGCCCTATTTGCTGATATAACATTGTACATTTTTGTGACAATAACTATAGAAAGACGACTTTTTTTCTGACAATGTGTAAGGGGGGTACTTTAATAAAGTTTTGGTTTTCAATTAATTTTATATTTTGAAACAAACAAAAAACATAATGATATGTTGTAATTGTTGGTATAATATTTTAGATAAAGATATAAAGTTGTGTTTTCCATTTACGGTGTAATGTAATACAATTATTTTTGTTATGTTATCGATGAAGTTCTTATTACCTTCCGGGTAATTTGTAGGAGCTAATGTTCCAATTATTTATTTTTTAAATTGAAAAAATATTCTTTTGTGAATCACCATTCAATCACACATTTCCAGTTTTAGGTTTAAAATAAAATTGAAATTATACTTCTTATATTATGTATAAGTAAACCATCTTAAATGAATGAAAGCACTTGTCAAAAAGAAATATTACTATTGTAAATCTGTACCACTCCTCACAAGCCGATGATGAAAACAATAATTTTAAAGTGAGCATGTCAAGGTAAACTGACGCTGTAAATAACATGTCTGAGGCAATTAAAAAAAAAATAAAGAAAAAAAAATACATTTAATAACAAGATAATTTAATCTTTAAGAAATATGCACCAGGCATTTTATATTTGTGTGAATGTTTTCTATACATTTATATATCAGTAGAAGTAAGACTGCTATCTAACTGGATTATATTCACGGAACCAACAGTCGCAGGTAATCGCACTTATACTATTAACGTGTGGACATGCATCTCTGACACTTTATGATCGTAATTTTAAACATTTTTTTTAAAACGATAACAATTACAAAGAAGACCTTTAGTATCTATTGGATACCTTTACTAATATTTAGGAAGAGACCCACGCTTTTCTTTATAGTTATTTAAATAGTAGTGTATAATTTATTTTCTACTTTTTAGTGCATTATTACATAAAAGCTTGTTATTAAAACGTTTTAT